CAATTGTATTAAAATTATCGGTTTATAAATCTGTCTTTCCAATTATACTGTAGGTTTCTTGATTGTAGAGATCAGTCTTTCTCTTGATATCCATGGAGCTTAAAAACACAGCAGTGTGACACAATACCAAGCAGATAATAGCCACTTAATTGATATGTTTAAATATAAAGGAAAGTATTTTAAAAGATCATCTTGCTTTATTAAAAATTATTAGTCATATTATTTTGAAAGCTACCTTTTGGCCACATCTATATGTTTATGATTACCAAAGATTCTTATGCTCATTAAACTTTTCAGAGTGTCAAGGACAATGGTAACAAAGTAAATGCTAGCCTAAATGCTAGCCTCCCAGTCTTTGGGAGTTTAACAGTAGTAACAAAATTTCAAGAGGAAGAGACTATTTTCTGACTTGAAGTTTCATTTACATTTTCTAGATTAGTGATTGATTTCTTTTTTAACAAGATTCTAACTTGGGAATTGTGTAGGATGAAGTCCTATTATCCCCTGCCAACATCATTTGTTTTGTTTTGTTTTGTTTTGTTTAATTGGGTGAATCCCACTCTTAATCCTAACTCTCCTTCTGGAATCCATTTTCAATTAACTGTGACATGCTATTACTGGACATATGATTTTTTTTTTTTTACCTTGTGTTATAATTGCATTAGCTACTTCAAAATAATTTTTTAAAAGATTTTTTGATCTAAATTATTGGCAGTATTAAAGAACATAGTTTTAAAAGCAAAAAGAGTATACAGAATTTCACAAATACTGATTCCTGCTTGTTATAGAAAATAATGCTGTCTTTTCTTCTCCTTATACCTTATTTTTTATTTTTTTTTATTTTAAAGATTTTATTTATTTATTTGACAGAGACACGGTGAGAGAGGGAACTCAAGCCGGGGAGTGGGGAGGGAGAAGCAGGCTTCCCGCTGAGCAGAGAGCCCGATGTGGCGCTCCATCCCAGGACCCTGGGATCATGACCTGAGCCAAAGGCAGATGCTTAACGACTGAGCCACCCAGGCGCCCACCTTAAACCTTATATTTTAAAATAAATTTTAAAATTAAATCCTAAGAATACAAAAGGGCAGATAAGCAAATCTGATTTACTCTGATTTATACTGAAGAATACTGAGTCCATTAGCTCTAATTCATGTGTAGTCTCAAGTAATAACTAAGAAAAGGTTTGTCATGAACTTCAGTTTTCTTATGTTTGAAGTTTTAAAAAATTATTTCAGCATATATAAGCATCAACTCGATAATAGCATAAATGTGCTTTTTTTAATGAATGTGCTTTTTAAGCTTGTCCAGTTATATCTTACAATCAGCGAAAGCAAGTAGACAAAATAGAACATGCAGTCTTCTGTGTTCAGCTGTTTCAGAACTGGTTTAAATGGAAAAATCGCTTTAAAGATTTGGCTTTCTTAAGAAAGCCCTCTATGTTGAAGCAGTGTGCAACTGAGGTCCTCTAGTGTTACAGCTGAATATGGCATCAGTTTTTAAGATTTTATGAATTGTGTGTGTTTATGTCAGAGAAAGAGAACAAGGACAAGAGAGATTACTACTGTAAACTTGACTCATAGAGCCAAGTGAGCTTAGAAAACTAGGTTCTTAATGTTTTATTTGTTAGTCAATCTCAAGCAAAGTTTTTTTCTTTTGTTTTTAAAAGGGGAGACATTTGCCTTCTTTAATATGCACATATTTATCAATGTTACTGTAGTTTTAAAGTTTGGGATCTTTTTCTTTCCATAGTTGGTTTATTTTTTGAGGATGTTTATGAAAACTCCATTAATTTAAAATTGTTTTTGTTTCACACATTCCCCATTTGCTTTAGAGTGACTGTTGTGGCTCTCTAATATGGGGGAAACTATTTGATAAAGAGAAATAGTTTAAATAAGCATTCCTTATAAATAGTAACTTTTATTTTTTCTTTTTTACATACTTCATGGAAAATATCAATTTATTTTAAAATATGGCTGACAACCAGGGATTATCTGACATTTGAGGAAAAAAAAAATCAGAGAGAAAGAGCCAAGGGAGGAAAACAAAAAAACAAAAAAACTTACCCCAGAGGAAATGAAGATAACATCTTCCCCCCACTTCGAATTAGTAGAATTCTAGTAACTATCCCAGAGAGACTCAAAAGAATAATGTATCCATACCAGAGAATAGGATCTATTGAAAAGGAACAACTACAGAATAGAACAAAGAGTCTAGAAATCAAATAATAGAAGAGGGAGGACTAAATGCCATGCTCATAGGAAATAAAACAGAAACTTGATCTGGAGAATGGATCTTATTTTTACCTGCCCACTAAAAATTCTAACTAAAAGATACAGTAGAGGTAGAAAACAGTCAAAGACCTAACGAATCAACTTTTCCTTGTTAATTCTTCTGCTAGTAGAACATGTGAGTCTTCAGATTAAAAGGGCACACTTATTGCTTACTAACAGAAACGCACAAATGCCTACACTCTGGACACACTGGACTAAAATTTTACAAGTCTAAGAATAAAGTGAAAAAGAATCCCAAGCTTCCAGAGAGGAATAACAAGCTATCTACAACAAAATTATATTGATACTGGACTTCTTACCATTAATAAAGAACACTTGAAGACAATGGAGAAATCTTTTTCCAAGTTTAAAGATAAGAATAAAACATTTTAAGATCTGTCATGCTTTAAAATTGTCCTACTCATGTCACACTTATGAAAAATTTTCTCATGGATGTATTCTAGCTAAATAAAAATACAAATACAAAATGAATAATAGGAGATATAAAAAATGATGGTAGCTCATGATAACCTTCATGAATAGTTATAAAATTATAGTATCTGTGAAATCCTGATGACTGAGATGTTTCTGCTTGAGAACTGGGGGTTAAGTGGCTTAGGTATATATATTTTTCTTAGTTATACAGTGACTATTTACTAATCATAGTATGGCAATGTGACAATCACTTCCCGCCTGTCTCAGAATGAAAGCCAAAGTCTTTACAATGACCTAAATGGCCTACATGATCAGGCTCCTTGTTATGTCTCTGACCTCATCTCTTAACACCTTACTCTTGGCTCATTCTACTGCATGCACAGTGGCTTCATTGCACTTTTTGAACTGCTGTGCAGTCTCCCAGTTCAGGACTTGCTTACTGTGCCCTCTGCCTGAATCACCTATTTCCCAGAGAGCTGCATGTCTTTTTCACTTCTTTAGATTTCTGCACAAATGTCACCTTAGTGAGGGCTTCCTTGATCACACTCTATATGTATTAGCATCCTGCTACCCCAAATTCTCTTCTTCCCTACTTTTTTCTCGTTAGCACTTAATCATCATGTCATATTATGTATTTGCTTGTTTATTCATTTAGCCTTCAGGAAAGAATTGTAGATTTCTTTTATTTCACTTATGAAATTGGATAATGTAAAAATAATATAACTAATAAAAATCAGGAGTTGGGAAAGGAAAATGGGAAAGTTATAAAAGTATGTTAATTATATCATCTTGCATAGCGAAGAAGACTTAATTATATTAACTAAAAGTCTAACCACCAGAAGAATTGAAAACAAACTGTTAAGGGTGGATACCTCTGGAAAGTCAGACTAGAATGAGATGAGAGGGATTTTCACTTTTCATGTCTTGTTCTTTCTTATGGTTTTAATTTAGAGGAGGGAGTCGTGTTGCAAGTATTTTTTTTTTTTTTGAAAATTTTATTCAGCTTACTTTTTCTAACATCACGTTTTTTGAGCTATACTTTACATATCTTAAAATATAACCTTTTTAGTGTACAGATCAGTCAGTTTGACAAACTCAGTAGTGTCATCATCATCAAAATCAGGATAACAGTTCCATCAAGTAAAATTTCCACATACTCTTTGTAGTCAACCCATCCCTCCAAGCAAGCCCATGATAATCAGTAACCTGTTATTCCATCCTTTTAATTTACATCTTTTATTTAATATGGGTTGCTTATAGCCTGAATATAATTGATTCTTAATTCCTATCCGATCTGACAATTCTTAGCTTTGACTTGGTGAGTTTAGATGTTTACATTTACATTTAATATAACGATTGATACATCCTAATTAAAATCTATTATTTCTAATTGTTCCATTTGTTCTCTGTGCTTTTTTTCCTTTTATTATGCCAGCTTTGGGGTTGACTATTTTTTTTTATAATTCCATTTTATCTCTACTGTTGGCTTATTTATATCTTTTTTAAAAAATTACTTTTAGTGATTGCCTGTAGATATTAATTTAATTTTTTCAAAAGTCTAATTCAAGATGGCAAAAAAAATGGGTAGAAAAGAAATCTATACCAAAATGTTAATATTGATAGTTTGAGAGATTGGGTTTGAATTAGTCTTTCCTACTTTTCTGTATCTCATTCCTGACTTCCCACATGAATGGTGCTTGATTAAAAAAAGAAAAAAAAAGAAAGAGATGGAGAGAGAGAGAGAGAAACTGGGCATCAGGGTGGAAGATGGCTTAGAAAGAATTAAAGAGAAATGTTTGATAAATCATAAATTGCTGGAGGTTGTTTTGTGGATTGATATGGAAAGTAACCTCATGTATATCTACCATAGAACATATTTTAGCCATTTTTCAGGGACTTAGGCATTTTGTCTTGAGCAGTAACAGTGGTTTTCCTTGACTTAGTTCTGCCATATATCTGAAACTTTTCTGGTAATTTGGCAAAGCCAAACCTGCAGAAGGTTAATTGCACACCACCAAAATTCAACTCCCTCCGTGGAAAAACAAATACTGCTCTTAGAGTAGCCTTAGGAAACTGTAGGATCTTTGCCAGATCAATTCTGTTGTAATCAGAAAATCCAAAATATGTATATAGTGGATATTTTATAAATTGTATAGATTGTATTTTCTTTGAATAGAAGAGGAATAATAAAAATATAACTCTGAATTTTTATAACCTCATTTCATTCTTTAAAACAGATTCCGTGTCTGCTTTGTAATTGATCTATTGATCTGTGACTTTTTGTCTTCTTCGTAGCTATTCAAAGGTTTTGTGCATTGCATTTGAGGTACTCCAAGGTTTGCAGTATATGAACAAACACGGTATAGTACACCGAGCACTGTCTCCTCATAATATTCTTTTGGACCGAAAGGTAATTGCCAAATAATACATTAAATATTTGTTTGTTGTTTGTGGTTGGAAGCTACTAAAATCAAACCCACTCAGAGGGACTATAGAGTACAAATATATTTTAATAATATTCATAATGAAATGGCTCTATGAAAGTGATATCTTTTTGGTGGTTAGAAAAAAAACAGCTATCTTTAAATTATATAAATCCATGTGTTTTTCACATGCATTATTTTTTTTTTCCCAAGATTCATTTTCTATCTTCATGTTGGGTTTTTCCTTTCATTTGCTTCCTGAAAAATAGGTATGGTAGCTTCCCAGTCCATTCCTCCTGAATTTGCTTTCATTTTAAGAAAGCTGCTCTATTTACATGGAGTATTTTGTCATAACACAGCTGCACTGTATTTTCTCCTCTTTATTTTTCTTCTTCCCTATTTTTTCTTTTTTCTTTTTTTCTCCATTTGTCTTCTTCATTTACCAGTTGTTCATACCTACTTCTTTTCTTATTGGAATGCCACTTCTCCACTTGGAAATCTTGTGGGGGATTAATAAGAAGCAGGTCAACTCCTATAGGAAAATTATGGTAGCAAGATGGTATGTTTTCAGGAATAATAATACTTTCATTTTTTTCATAAGCATATAAAAATAGTTTTGAGAGAATTTTTTCTGGGGAATTATTTTTTGTATTAGTAGGATTATTCTTTCCCCTGATTCTCTCCCAGACTTTTACTACTATTACCCTATGGTATTAAAAATCATAAAAGCTAAAGTGGTACTCATTAATTTCATTTTTATAGCAGTGGAGTATCTAACCAATCTGAGTTGCTTTAATATATAAACGTTTTATAGTGCTGGGAAATAAAGTTCTTGAGAACAAGAAAACAAATCTTAAAATCAACTTTATTTTTTTAAAGTCTTAAATATCTAAAAGGAGGAAAACTTAAGAGATTTATAAAATTTATATTTGCTTTTTATTAAGAACCTCACTTTTGTGATAATTATGGCTTTCTCAAACAATATAAAAATTGTTAGAATTCTAGCAGTTTCACTAATATCTTGATTTGTGACCTGATCTTTTCAAGTTAAGAACTCCCATGTCAGGGTTAAATTATAATATTATGAATGGACTTGCAAGTCCTTGAAAAAAAGTTCTTTTATTAAAATTACCAAAAAATGTTCTAAGCAGGGATTTTTTTTTTTTTTTTTTAGATTTTATTTATCTATTTGACAGAGAGAGAGACAGCAAGAGAGGGAACACAAGTAGGGGGAGTGGGAGAGGGAGAAGCAGGCTTCCAGCAGAGCAGGGAGCCCCATGCAGGGTTTGATCCCAGGACCCTAGGGACCCTGGGATCATGACCTGAGCCGAAGGCAGACACTTAATGACTGAGCCACTCAGGTGCCCCCTAAGCAGGGATTAAAGACAAACGAGAACATTTGAGCTGTTTTTGTTTTGTCAAAATACCTGGAAAATATAAACAAAAATTTTTAAGTGTTATTTGTTGTTTTGAGATCTATATATAAAATATATATATGTCTATATACATACATACACATATACATATACTTATATTTGTAATGAGTATAAAGCAGGTTTCAAACATTGGCAAATAGTTTTTAATAAAATTATGGTAAACTAAAATTGTGGTAAATTAATTTTTTTTTCATAATATATTTCACTATCTGATAATTTCCTTACTTATGAAATGTATACTGATACTTTTTCCTGCAACTAATATTAAAACATTTAATAGTGATTTTTATTATTATTGTAGGGACATGTTAAATTGGCTAAATTTGGACTTTATCACATGACAGCTCATGGTGATGATGTTGATTTCCCAATTGGGTAAGAATATGTTTTCTTTTTTTCTGAGTTGTGTCTTAAACTTTGTAATATTTGATAAAAAGTATATTTCATTAATTATTAGTGATATTACTTTCTGACACAAAACTAGCTTTTTTTATTAACATATTTTAATTTTCCATATACTTTTAAGAGAGTAGACAGTGAGTTTTTCCCAGTGTCCAAAAGATATCTAATGTTGATATTTCATTAGATATTGGCAGAGAGGCTAACAGATTATTGACCTTCTTCACCTTATAATGCTTACTAATTAATTTCATTTCATCCTGTATTAGGTAAATTTTAGGCAAGAAGGCTGGCCAGATTCTTACAGTGATAATGTGTGTTCCTTAAAAGACGAGGAAAAGCATCCTTATAGTATTTTCTACTCTTTCTAAATTAAATTCCTTGTTCCATAAGATATAGTTGTATGTTAAGACTCAAGTTAAGTCATTGGAAGTATCAGAGGTAATGGGTAGAGTCTACACCTGAAAGTCTATGTTTAAGTTTGGAGACATTTATTTGATCACTTCTGCTATGGAATTCCAGTTTATGTTGGCCTCCAAGATAAGGAAGTTTATTTTATTCTGTTCTTAGCCAGATGCTTTTGATACAGATTTTTGTGTTATTTATTTAGACATTTTAATAATATAATTCTTTTGAGTGTTTAATTTTGGCATTATTTTCAGTACATAGAAGTTTCAACATAGTAGAAGAATCCCTGTGTAGCCTTCACTTGATTCCCCAAATGTCAACATTTCACTACATTTGCTTTATTTCTTTTTTCTTACACATATAGGTGTATGTGTATATTAATATTTTTTTAGTCATTTAAGAGTAATTAATGCATGTGATGCCCTTTTACCCCTAAGTACTTCAGTTTGTATTTCCTAAAGTAAGGAATTTCCTTATATAACCACAAAACAAATATCAAAACAAGGAAATTAAAATTAATGTAATACTGTTTATCTAATCTAGAGACCTTAATCATATTGTTCAATTGCTTTGTGATTTTTTTTAATAGTATCCATTTGTGTGTCTTGCTCTTTGGGCTCTCTGAAATCAGTTCTGTCACTCCATTACCAAGAATTGTGGTTTGAAGTCATGGAAAGTGTTTCTGCAGGAGACATTGCTTAATTAGATGTTTTTAAAAAGGGACTCATTTATAAATTACCCTTTTATCTTTATAAGATAGATTATAGGTTTCTTACCTAAAATTTTTGTTAGGCCTTCGCAAATAATCTTAAAATAAAGTGCTTAGTCATTCCTTCCTTTAATTATTAAGACAATATTTATTGAGCACCTTCTCTTCTGGCTGCTGGATGTGCAAAAATGGATAAGATAGATTCCTATCCTCAAGAAGCTCCTTGTTTAATGCAAAAATTTTCTCTTTTGATGGCCTACTTATTAAAGTACATAAATTAATAATCTTAGCTTCACATACCAAAACCTGTGGTCATAGGAAACAAACAATTGTTTTCCAAGCATGAAAACACCATTTTGTAAAAATAACTTACATTTTATTTGTTAAAAAAAAAACCCTTTTGAGTATAATAAAAATAAGTTCACAGTAAAGCTCTAGTGTCTTCTTACATATGTGATAATTGCCTTTTGAAGTAACTTTTAGGGAGCAGTGGTCTGACAGGAAGTAAATGTGATTGCTAATTCTTCTTCATGTTGTCTAAATCAAGCTCTATGAGAAAGAACTCCAAAAACATAATGCAAACAAAAATTACATTAATTTTTTTGCCTTTACTTAAAGATGCTTTAGGTTTACTAGTGATGAATGGAAGAAAGGAAGTGATTTTTCATAAAGCATGTCAAGTATTTTGAAGAACTACATTTGAATTTAAAATGCTTAGATAGAATTGGTCTTGTGTGCCATTTGGTCTGGTTTACTTTGAAGTCTTGGACCCAAAGGGTTGACCAGAAAGTATCAAAGAGCAAAATGTGAAACATTAGCCAGGAAAAATAAAGTGATCAAACAGCTAAGGCATGAAAGAAAATATTTACACCAGAAGAAGCTTGCAGTTGATTCAAAAGACAAATATTAAGGAACAACAAAGTAAAATGTTAACATCTGTTACAAAATATTGTAAAGAGTTAGAAATTGGACATTCATTTCAGTTGGCCAGTAGCTTAATACCTTGTTAAAAGATCAAACAGATGATGAAAGCCTCACCAATCATACAGCAAAGTTCTGGTAATTTTCTTTGAGTGATAAAATGCCATGCTAAAGAAGAGACACTTGTTGAAAAGAGATAATCTACATTTAAAAACAATCCTAGCATTTATTATTTTTATTAATTAGTTTAATCAATTCTTGATTAGAAGGGAAATCAGAATTTTTGGAGCAAGGGTCACCTCTATGCTTCTAGAGATCACCAGTCAGAAATCTTAGATATAATGATTTACCTATAGTATAGCTTGGCCTTTCACTACCCACACCATTATTTTTGGATAAGATGTGCTGGAAATCAGGATTAAAAATAAACAATTTGCCTTTTAGATGAATCATGGTGATGATGAATAAAAATACAACATAGCATTTATGTCATATTTTTCCATTTTTATAAAAACAGTACTCACTAATATTTATAACAGTTTTGTGAAGTAAACATTATTCCTATTTTCAGATTAAGAAACCCTGATCACATATGGAATATGTGCTGGATTGAAACTAGAATATACGTATTATAATATCCAGTCCATCCTTTTTCCACTAGGCTTCAGTTGTATCCAGAGATGTCATTTAGAAGAGCAATGTGATCAGTTTAGGGTAAAATGATATAATACAAATTTGTATATGACAGAAATATATGAGCAAATTAAAAGTAGATATTAGTGGAGGAGGAGCAAGATGGCAGAGGAGTAGGAGACCTAAATTTTGTCTGGTCCCAGGAATTCAGCTAGATAGTTATCAAACCATTCTGAACACCTACAAACTCAATGGGAGATGGAAGAAAAGAATAACAGCAACTCTGTGAACAGAAGAGTGACCACTTTCTGGAAGGTAGGACGTGTGGAGAAGTGAATCCAGTGTGATGTTTTGGGAAAATAGACCGCAGGGGGAGGGAGCCTCCATCAGCCACTACCAGCAAGTGATAGAGCAGCAGAGCACAAAATCGGAACTTTTAGAAGTCTGCTCCGCTGAGGGATGTTGCTCCAGTGGCTAAGTATAGGGTGGAACCCTCACTGGGACAGTGTGGTCTCAGGACCCTCAGGGTCACAGAAAGACCAGGGTTGCCAGAGTGTGGCAGAGCTCCCAGGTATCGGAGTGGGGAAGCTGGCTGCAAAGATGGAGCCGAGGAGTGGGCTCTCAGCTTGGGGTTGCCATAAACCATGATCCGCGGCACAGTCGGGCCACTGCTCTTCCAGCAGGGACCCAGCAAGTGGCAGATCCAGGCAGACTCCCCTTCTTCCCCCGGGAGGAGCGGCGCGGGAGTACACTACAGGGATCTGCTGGGTTTGGAGACTCCAAACGGGGTCATGTGCCAGAAATAAAAACGCTTGGCCACAGGCTGGGTGAACACAGAGTGTGGCTGAAGATGAGAGAGATGGGAGTGATTGACTGCTTTTCTCTGGGGGTGCACTGAAGAGTGGGTCCCCGAGTTCTCAGCTTGTCCAGGACCAGAAATTGGGAGGCCGCCATTTTCACTCTCATCCTCCAAAGCTGTACGGAAAGCTTTCAGGGAACAAAAGCTCCCAAGAGCAAACCCGAGCAGATTATTTAGCCTGGCCCCCGGCAAGGGTGGGACAATTCCACCTCAGGCAAAGACATTTGAGAATCACTGCAATAGGCCCGTGCCCCAGAAGATCAGCAAGAACAGCCAGCCAAGACCAAATTTACTGATCAATGAGAACAGCAAAACCCAGCACTAGGGAAATACAGCACATAGAATTTGTGGCTTTTTTCCCATGATGCTTTAATCTTTCAAAGTTAATTTTTTAAATTTTATTTTTCTTTTTCTATTTTTTTAGTTGAATTTTTCTTCTTTCCTTTTTCAACCAATATCTTTTCAATTCCTTTTTTAAAATCTTTTTTAATTTTTCATTTTTACATTCATACCCTATCTCTTCATTGTATTTAATCTTACTGTTTATATATATATATATAAGTTTTTCTTTCTTTAAAATTTTGGGATAGTGTCTTCTAACAGACCAAAATATACCCTAAATCTAATGTATGATGTGTTCCTAGTCTCCTGCGTGATCACATTCCCTCTTTTTTTAAAAAATATTTTTTCATTCTTTTTTCAGCCAATTTCTAATTAATTCCTTTTTTAAAATTCTTTTTAGTTTTCATCTGTACAGTCATATTCCATCCCTTCATCATATTTTCCCTTATTTTAGTATATATGTAAGTTTATCTTTCCTTAAAATTTTGGGAGGCAATTTCTTCTAACAGAACAAAATACACCCAAAATCTATTATGTGGCTCTGTTATTTTCACCAGCCTGATCATATTCTTTTTTTTTTCCCCTTTACTTTTCCCCCCAGTTTCGGATCTCTTCTGATTTGTTTAGTGTATATTTTTCTGGGGTTGTTGTTACCTTTTTAGCATTTTTTTTAGCATTTTGTTCTCTCATTAATCTGTTCTCCTCTGGACAAAATGACAAGATGGAAAAACTCACCTCAAAAAAGAGAACAAGAGGCAGTACCAACTGCCAGGGACCTAATCACTACAGACATTAGTAAGATATTGGAACTAGAGTTCAGAATGACAATTATAAAGATACTAGCTGGGCTTGAAAAAAGCATAGAAGATAATAGAGAATCCCTTTCTGGAGAAATAAAAGAACTAAAATCTAACCAAGTCAAAATCAAAAAGGCTGTTAATGAGGTGTAATCAAAAATGGAGGCTCTAACTGCTAGGATAAATGAGGCAGAAGAGAGAATTAGTGATATAAAAGACCAAATGATGTTGAATAAAGAAGCTGAGAAAAAGAGAGATAAACAACTACTGGATCATGAGGGCAGAATTCGAGAGATAAGCAATAACA